CCAAATAAGTTCAAGATTCAAGATGAGTGTAGTGAAAATTAGAGATCATAGAATGTATTTTACTTTTCATGTGAATTGACATTTATACCTTGAATCAAGTGAAATAGATTTTAAATGAATTGGTCTTTAGCTATTTGAGTTTTTGGTCGATCCAAAATAAATTTTATAAATAATTTATTTTTATAATTAAATTTATAAATAATTAATTAATTTAAATAAATTCAATCATAAAATTGTTTGTTAGACATCATTTAAACATATGTGAACTAATGCCACATCATTGTAATTTTGTCAAAATATAAGGAAAGACCATAAAAGAGGATTTCAACATATGTGAACTAATTCTACTAATGGATAAAATCATTGTATTTACAATATTTCTTTTACCAAATGACTAGCAGCAAAAGTCTAACAAAATAAGTGTTGAAAAATGACAAATTATATATGCCATCTGGCGTTTTAACACGTCAAATATCTTTGTTGTAAATTTATTTTGTAAATATTGTACCCTTAAATTCTCTTAGCTGAAAATTATTAAAATAATGGTATAAAACATAAAATACAAACCCATAAATAATTACACCGAACCGTATCCATTAAACACGAAATCGGTAAATAAAAAAAGAACGTCTAGAAAAAAAAAAGGATAATAAACATAAATATTTTATAAAAAAAATAGACAATTAAAAGTATGAAGGAAATATTCAATATTAATAGAAAAACTTATAAATTTATAAATTTTTCTATTAATATTGAATATTTCCTTCATACTTTTTTAATTGTCTATTTTTTTTATAAAATATTTGTGCTTATTTATCCTTTTTTTTTTTTCTTCTAGACGTTCTTTTTTACCGTCACCGATTTCATGTTTAATGGATACCGTATGGTGGAATTATTTATGGGTTTGTATTTTATGTTTTATACCATTATTTTAATAATTTTCAGCTAAGAGAATTTAAGTGTGGTCTTACATTTTTTTCAAAATATTGTTTCTTTTTAGAAGGTGGGTGAGGTTATTAATATTTGTGTCTGCTATTAACCGGTAAACATCTTTGATTTTTAGTGAAATAGGTGTTGGGTTGACTTTGACAAATACTAGTAATAGAATAGACCTATTCTAGGATAACATTTATCATAGTGACCCAAGAAATTATAATGTGAACGCATTTATGTCCGGGTTCCATTAGGACCCAATGTTTGGAGATTGAAATCCGAATATCCCAAGTAAGAAAACGAATTTTGCATACCCTATACTAGTCTTCACGATCATTAAATAAATATTGTAAAATCCTATCAAATTGTTTTTTCCCATTTTTATTCAAGATTTTTATTTTAAATAATATTCTGTTGTATTCTAGTATTAAAAGGAGCAAAGTAAATTGAAAATATTTATTAATGTGAAATTTTTTGGTGTATTTTTCTAAAATACGAATGTTGCCTCTGGATTTTGCTTTTCGAATTTTTTTACAATTGATCTATAAATTGAATTCCGGACTTTTTAATGGTGAATTTAAATGGTATTTTGTTTTTACTAATTATAATTATGGTGTACTTTAATGTTATCACCAAAGCTACTACATCTAAGGATGGTAATCTCATTAAAATGTCTATGTAGATTTTGAAAAAGAATTTATCAAAAAACAAAAGTTTGTTATATGGAGATGACACTTGATTAAGAAAATGTGGATGTTATTTTAAATTGTGTAGGTACCACAGAGTGAATAATACATAGGTATTTAAAGTGATTTGTGGTATACTTCATAAATATGTTTTGTGTCACAAGTTAGTCGATTATTTGATTGTATATTTGTCTGAATTTTAAATAGAAGAAACTTGTTTCTGACATGACGTTGAACATGGTTCAATTCAAAAACATATTCACAACTTTGAAAATGAAAAGACCCGAAAGTGTCTCAAATATTAGGAAAGTATATGATGTTTGTACACAAAACAACAAGTCTACACGAGGTCAAAGATTTGAAATGTAATAATTGTTGAAGTTATTGAATGATGATTATTATGTATATAGGTACAAAGTGTGTGAGGATGGAAAAATTGTTCTTGATATATTTTAGACTCATCTTCATTTTATTAAGTTGTTCAACACAATTCTCATTGTGCTAATAATTAATTCAAAATAGAAGACCAACAAGTACATACTTCCTCTTATTAAAATTGTTGGTGTTACTTCTACATAAATAACTTATTTAGTTGGCTTTGTATTTTCGGAATGTGAGAAAGAGGATAATGTTACACGGGTTTTGGAAGGGTGTTAAAAAATTTTAAAAGACCAAGAAAACATGTCACATGTGATTGTCACTGATCACGATACAATACTGATGAATTCAACTGCAAAAAGGTTTTTTACATCATGTAACAAGAGTTCCCATCAAGATAAAGGTAACACCCCTGATTAAACAAACTCTCTCTAAAATGGAACTTAAAAGTTGGCAAGAAAATACCACTACCTTAGAAGGAGCCCAACTAATTCTTATGAGAGAAATATGAGATATTATGGTCCAATTGAACATGGTAAGTAGAAGCAACAAAGCATATATAATCTCATGTATGGTCCCAATTTCACTTATCATTATCCTAAGAGAGTAGAGGATTGAAGAACATAGAAAATATTATCAACAACTATTAATACGCAGAGAAAGAAAGTTTCCTCCACCTGAGATTCCCGATAAGGTTCAAGTTTTTCCACCGTCCAATCTCTTCCCCCAATCCACCAGGTTGATTAGAAATTGTAAACAACATAGAAAAACTATTCTTAAGAGGGGTGTATCATGCCTAAGGATCCTCTCAAAAAGATGTCTGGAGGCTTGATCACACTTTATTCGTGATACCCCCAATAAATCAATCACATGGGTCATCCTCTTTGAACCCTAGAAAAAGACACACATTTCCACCAAATATAAATAGATTGGAAAACCAAAATCCTCCCCCTCCCTTTCGAAGAGAAGAAACCTCTGAAACACTATCTAATTGCGAGAATCTCAAACCAAATACTAGAAATACATGTAATTAATCTTCATTTAATCAAAAGGCTAAATTAACCAATGAAAAATCCCTAGCTCCTAATCCTCTTTTAAGTTGAAGAAAATGAGAAAAAATTGATATATGTTTTTTAAATATTTTAGGATTTTGAGATTTTTTAAAAATCAATATGATATTTGTTTATGTTAATAAAATGATTATCATGTGTCTTACATAATTTCCTATGAGATGTTCTTTGGATTTAAGAAAAAAGTTAAATATGTTTGTGATCCTTATAAATATTTCAATTTTCGTTCTTGATCCCTCTAAAATTTTCCTTCAAACAATAGTCTTCGTAAAGTTTTCCATCCATCGGAGACAAAGCCACATGAAAGCATACAAAGCCACATGAAAGCATGGGTCACCTAATACCCCCACTATATTTTAAATATTTATGAAGACTAGCATTTCTTACCTTATACATGTACTAACATTTCAATTACAAAAAGAATATTGATGCACACGTTACTTTTATGTTGAAAATAAGATAGAATAAATATTATTATATGATATAGTCGGTGAAAATATAAGTGTCAAGAAAATCTTCAACATCTTTAAAGTTTATAGTTATGTTTTGTTATATAATAATGATAATATAATATTATAGTAAAGGCAGTGATAAAGTCAGGAAAATTATGAAGTCTGGACAAAAATTTAAAAACCGCAAATTCATATTGTATACTATATATAAATAGTTGAAAATGTTTTGGCTTGGTACAAGAAACTGCTTCTAGATTTAAAACGGGTGCTGAAAATGAAATCATGTTCTATTGATAAAATATAAGAGTTACTAGAAGACATCATCCTGGTACACACTAATTAAGATCTAGCATTTATCAAATAGAATTAAGTTTTAAAAGTCATAATTAAAATCAAGTTTTGTCCATAAAAGGCCCACAACGTTAAAAACAAAAATTCAATGTAATGACAATTAAACCAAAAACATCATTGTCTTATTATATTACGCTAAACCATAATGTCGATCAAGGTTCAAAAGAATGCAGTCTCCATGAGGTAATACATCAGGTAGTGCAAAATATAGACTTCTTTACATAAACTCCAACAAACTCTTATGGTTGTGGAAGTGGATCTTTTATAAGTAAAATTATCTTATACCTCATGTAAAGCTAGGTTGATTTCTTAAAGGTCAACCCTAGTGCTATCTAACTAAAGTACATAAATAAATAAAACTTAATTGATTATTGCCTTCATTTAATTTATTCCAATTTTGTAGGTATTCTTAACATGTTGTCAATGGTGTCATGATAGAGACATAAATAATAAAATTACCCAAGACAGTTAAATCTAGTTAAATCTATAGGCATAAACAATACAACCCTTAAATAGACCAACAAATGGCATGGGTTAACTTGCTTATAATCTCTCCAACTTCACTTACCTTCATACACTTGACCTTTCTAAGAACAATTTTCATAGGCCAAATTCCCATCAACTTTTCCCATTTCACACTCCTGAATGTCATTCAATTAGCTTTCAACAATCTCTCAAGTTCACTTCCACCACAATTGAGTCAACCGCATAATCTAATAAGTTTAGAATTTTCTGTCAATAATCTCACAAGTGAAATCCCTTCAACTTTTGGCAATCTCTTTTCTCTTAAGAATCTTTCTTTGACAAGGAACAAGTTTGTTGGTGAGATTCCAATTGAATTGGACAGTCTCCATAATCTTTCAAGACTTTAACTCTCAGAAAATAATTTCACTGGCAGGTTTCCTACTTTGATTTTCTTCAACCTCTCTTCCTTAGTTTTCTTATCCCTCACAAAGAACAATCTATCAGGCGAGTTGTCGCAAAATTTCGGCCACGCCTTTCCAAATTTAACTACACTTGCTCTTGCAACAATAGGTTTGAAGGGGTGATTCCAAATTCTATATCCAATTCATCACATCTTCAAATTATTGATCTTGCTAAAAATAGATTTCATGGGCCAATACCTTTTTTCAACAACCTGAAAAACCTCACTCATTAGACAGTAGAACCAAGAAGCATAAGCAAAACAAGGGAAAAAAGCAAGAAACCGACCTATGCACTTCATCGAACATGTGGCGTGCGAGTTTCGAAACAGAGGTAGCGGCAACAAAATAACCAATTCATGAGCTGCATCATCATTAGTATAACCATTCAACATCCCATCACAAGAAAATCAAAACAAAAGTAGAAGAAAAGAAAAGAAACCGGTGAAGGCATTTCGTCGAACAATTTGTGAGTAAGATCGAAAGTTGTATATTGTGAGAGAGAATTTGAACGTGTACTGAGGCTTGAAGTTACACGAGAAAGAGCCCGGGAAGGCGCCCGGCTTGGCCGGGCCTTGACTCCGCCCCTGAGTAAAGGGGTTATCAATCTTTCTATAAAACATAACGATTAAATTTAAAACTTTATATTTTGTATGGAAGTTATATTGAAAGCTACTAAAATAAGCTACTAAAATTTTATCCTTAAAGGAAATCGAAGTCATCGTTTAGTATTGTCAATTATTCAACTATATTCATTTTCTAATTTCTTTTGGGTTATATCATCCATTTTTAATTTTCGAACAAAATATTTATCACTTTAGATTATTAATATAATATTTATTATTTTTGTACTAATATTTTTATTTATTGAGTTTCACTTTACATATGTTAATTATAATTATAGTCAATAAAAATATTTTAATAAATAATATTAATTTTATTATTTAATATAATTATTTTATAAAAATCACACATAACTTAAATTTTACATTTGATTTTAAAGGGAAAAATACTTATATAAATTTCTCTCATTACTAAAAGTTTCTGGCTTCGTCACTGCCATCCACAATTTGGGTCCTTGCTGTCAACATTCATTAACGAAAGCTGACGTGACACGTCACATGGAAGACAGCTTAACAAAAATATGAAAACACTTGAAATTGCGGGGGTTTTAAACCTCCTCTAAACAAACCCAGAAAAAAGAATAAAAATATTAATTCTGAACTTTTGTCGAACACCTTACGAACAAGCTTTGCAAAAACAATTATAACACACAAATTCATCAATGGGCATCCTTAACTAAAATTTCAATTGTGGATCCTTAACTAAAAAAGATCAAAGAAACCAAATGAGGTTTCCTCAGAAAAAACACATAAATTGGTGAAAAGCTTAAATTACCTTGGTGTTAAAGCGTGCAATGCAGGTGAAAGATTTTCCACTATCAGTTACAACTTTGATATCTTGGCCAGGCTTGATCTCAGTGATTTTACTTGGAAGGTTAATTGTATAACGTTCCTGACCAGTCAATCCCAATGTGTGTGTATCCTCCTCGGGTTTGTAGAAAAGGGGAATAATACTCATTCCTACCAAGTTACTATGATGAATTCTCTCAAAACTTTTAGCTTCATAGATTTGACCCCCTGTTGAAATGTAAATGTATCATATACCAAGAAATTGACCTTTATATTTTAAAAAAGTCAAATAAAAAATCCAATTGATCATAATTTGAATTGACAAAACTACTTGTAAAGGAACTCACCAATAACATTGGACCTTTAGCCGCCCAATCTCTAGAACTTCCACTACCATATTCAGTTCCTTCTAACACAATTGTATCTTGCAAAGAAGCCTTATTTGTATCTCTGACAAAAGAGAACAAATCCAGAAGATTAGAAACATAACACAGCTAAATAAACTAATTACTACAAACATTCTTTGGCGTAATAGTATCCACGAATTATAATCATCTTGGGGTGAGAAAAAGTATCCCACTAAATCTACAGCTGATGTCCATGCATCATTGCCATTCCCACTAGTTAAATTAACAAACTGGGTGGAGCTTGAAATAAGAAGTGTATTATCTATTTGAATAAGTAAAACTTGATGTTGAATACATCTACAGAAGCAAACATGTTCAGTAAATATAGTAATTGAAAAATATCATTTTGTCATAAAGACACTCACACGGGTGGTTTGAAAAGAAATATAGAAAGACATCAACACCAGAAAATATGATATAAAATAAACTATGATTTGTCACTGGAAAAGTTCAAAATAGTAAGCAAATAAGATAACATACTTGAGTAGGGCGTAAATCACCATTGCTGCATTGAACACATAAAGCTTCTCCCTAGTTGGAATGTGAATTGTTCTAGGGCCAACTTTTGTTGTTGCAAAACTTGCTCGCAATGTGTTCAACAAAAGTTCAGAACCAATATCTTTCTTCTTTTTTTTGTGTTTGTTTAGAGGAGGTTTAAAACCCCTCCAATTTCAAACATTTTCAGATTTTTGCCAAACTGTCTTCCACATGGTATGTCACCTCAGCTTTCGTTAATGAAAGTTGACGGTAAAGACCAAAATTATGGATGAAAAACTTTATGAAAACCATTGTTTGAAAGAAAAAAAATTTAAAGAACTAAAAGCAAAAATTAAGATATTTATAAGCACTACAAACATATTTGACCCTAAAAAAATAATAAAAAGATTTTAAAAAATAAAACATGTTTGTGCGGAGTAATAAAAAATAGTGATCAATTTGAATGAGTAAAAAAATCTTATTACAAATAAAAATATATATTTTCCAATAACTCTTTAGATTCACCTCAAATAACATGAAGTGAATTAAATATTAAATTTTTTATGCTATTAAAATAAATATGCAAACTAAAAATAATTGAAAGAATTATAGTTATAATAAAATAAAATAAAATATATTTTTTGCCTCTAAAATTTTTAGTTTATATATTTTAAAAATGGTGAGTTCTAAGGTGAGGTACTAGTTAAATTCCTCATCATGAACCACAATATTAACGACCATTAGGTTACTTGATATTACATATTTTATCATACACCACGCTACATTAGATTTAATTTTCCTCTCTTCTCTTCGGGGGCGTTTATTTCAAGGCTAAAAATTATATTCCTAAGAATACATGGGTGGAAAATAGTTATTCCCATGTGTGATACGGTGGGAGAACTGACTTGGTTGTTTTGCGTTTGATCACAAATGTTGTGGTTTAGCAAGATTTGCCATCGACTTTTCTTTTATCTAAAAGGAAAGGCTGAAAAGAACAGGAAAGACCTTTGAGATGTTTTTCTTGAGTTCGGGGGGTAGATTATAAAAAGGGAAGGTATTAGCACCCTTTTCATTCGTAGTTATCTACCGGCTCTTAGTTGCTTGCTAGATCACTTGATTTTGTTTGAATGTGCTTGTGGTGTGGTTTTTGAAAGTATTTTGAAAATTTATTTGTAACGGCTCTCGTTTCTATAAGAACGCGTACAAAGTGTTTGTCTTTCGAAAATGTTTCAAAATGAGAGTGTTGGTGTATAAAATGTTTTTGTTGTGAGCAAGCAAGTAACTAGGAGTGAATCTACCTACTCAAAAGGTCTTAGATGTTCTTTTCCTCCTCTTTTAGATGTTGTTATATCACCATTGTTTTGGTAAGAAGCTCCATCGTTGGATGTGAAGGGACGGGCATTGGACGTTTGTATAATCATAGAAGGAAGCCTATGGATCGCTTTAGCAATGTCATTTTAGGGACTATATCATTTACCGAAGGCAACATTATGGATCATCGAGGGACTACGATCTTTTATAGAGGGTTTTTGCTAAAACGCCCATATTCGAGGGACATGACTATTTTCCGAAAGGCAACAAAGTGGGATTACCCTAAGGGTGTAAGTGTGAATGGTGTGTTAGATTTACATGCATTTTAGTCTTGATTAGGGTTTGCTATTTGTTGGTTTTAATCTTTCCATACAAACCCAAATTACTAACAATATATGAAAGCAATAAAAGTGCGGGAAAAGTAAAGTCCTACACTATTACATCATTAAGGGGATGAGGTGTACAAATTTAAAAATGGGGATTGCAAGAAATTAAAGTCCTAATTATCTATTACAACCATATTGAAATAATGTGCAAGAATTGAAATGAACTTGTTTTGTTTTTGTTAAGAAATAAGTTTACTCAAGAAAATATTTTGATCTTTTTGTTCTAAAAGAAATAAAGTAAAACATGTAAATATGAAATGTTTTTGGTGTTTTTGGTTATTAAAAGCAAAAATAAGATAAATAAGAGAAAAATGATTCAGAATCAGCATATTGCTGAAAACAATGAGGAACAAAAGCTCTGACTCTGATACACTGCAAGAGAGAAAATGTTAGCAGGAAAGTAGATGGTCATAAGTTCTGGGCATGGGTACACCAAGTTATGAGGTTGGGGGGTTCAGAAGCTATAGTGTAGCTGGGAACCTAGAAGTTCATATATCCCTGGCAAGTCAGAAGTTCTGGCTATTTGAGAGTGAGGTGATAATGCTGTTGGGTAAGGTTGTCTAGAAGTTTTGATTTAGGAATATTGTCTGACAGATGAATGGGTAAAAATGTCAATAAATAAACCTAAAAAGATGCTTCTGGGGCTAGAACCCAGGACCCTTAGCACCAATGTCTTATGCACACGCTTTCTATCACTGGGGTGGCTGTACATCCGGTATTAGAAACAAAATCATAAACATATAACATAAAGTAAATTCTGGTGATGAGCTTCATCTCTTTCTCCACACCAATCAAAGCATCTGCAGCTTAGTCATTTCTCAACAAAACAAAAATGAAAATGTTGTACCCCAAAATTTTCCCTCTCATGTCTCGAGGACTCTTGGAATTACTTCAGTCAAGTTTCAAGCCTTAGATCACATTTTCTAAGAAGAATCATTCAAATTATCAAAAGGGGGCAAAATGAGTAACATTGGAGTTTCAGCTGGAAAAAGTCAATCGGACACTAAAAAGTCAAACTTTGACTTTTTGACCAAATTTGGGTCCCAAAAAATCACATTATGTCAAGACATCCAAAAATGAAATTTGATCATCAAAATCAAGAGAAGCAAAAATCCAACTTTGCAAGACTTTGAAATTTTTCTAAGTATTTTCTATACTTGGTTAATTTCATTTGTTTCCTAACATTTTACCACAATTTCAAATAATTCAAAATGATGTAAGTAATTCGAGTTATTACAAAGTGGTATTTTTGCAAAATTACAAATTCTAAAACTTTGTCTTGATTGAGTTCTCTCAAAAAAAAAACCTTGCCACATTATTTTGCCCTTGACATAATGTACATGAAATATTCCACAAGACCAAATTTGCGTCATGCTACAAATCATACTGTCCAAGTTGAACAAAATGTGATATGCCATATTGCCACAACACCCCATGCTTCCCTGCAATAAAGCTTGTGCTATGCTGCACCCCAAGTATACATGTTGCCTAATACAGTCCAAAACTGCTCTATGCAGTCTGCCCAAGCCTGCATCACAACAGCCCCAGAATTGCACCAAAATGGCAAAGAAAAATTCAGGGAAGAAAGTGTCAAAACAGTAAGCAAAAACAATTCAAAATAACTTATTTGGTTTCCCCCTAAACCACAGTAAAAGGTCTACAAAAGGGACTGTCTCACAAGACATAGGGGGCTGGATTTTTTGAGAGGTTGGATTTTTGAAAGAGGAGGGAGAGAGAGAATAGAGAGTTTTTTTGAACAGAAAAACAGTATCCTTGATAAACTTGACTCATTCATTTTCAAAACAAAGTTATGTTCTTATTCAAAACCAGACCCCAACCCATTACTCCACCATACTAACTCTCCCTTAGGCCAAACACCTCATCACCTAAAAGATTGTCCAAACATAAAAACAGTCCGTGTAGTGTTATTCATCTTCACCTTCAAAAACACCAAGAAAAAAGAAATACAGTACAGTCTAACTCAGTTTCAACATCCCGGAGCAACTTCCTAAAAGCAATCAGATCTAAAACAGCCGATGTAGCCTGAAAGGTAAGTCTTCTTGACTTGATATCTTTTCATACATCATTGACAATTTGTTGTTTTTGAAGATATGATGTAGTATTTTATTATCTATTTGAACTAGTCATTTACTTATGATTTAGGCTTATTCAGTCATTTGTTATTTATGTTCATCCATCATATGTTGTAAGCTAACCTATACAGACAAGAAAAACAATGTTTAAAGCAGGAAAATACAGCATGTATCAACACATATCCTCATGTGTCGACTCATCCTAGTGAAAAAATAGGGTATGAGTCGACACATAACCCTCATGCATCGACTCATATGATTTCAGGTTACAAAACAGAAGTGGGAAAAGACTATGAGTCGACACATATGTGTTTCGTGTCGATGCAAGAAGGTGCATGAGTCGACACATCCCATATGTGTCCACTCATACTGAGCAGATTTTGTTTTATAGGAGCAAGGAAAAGCTATGTGTCGATGCATAGCAGCATGGGTCGACACATAGCAGTTCAAAATGCAGTTTTACTTTTATTTTACATTGTTTTTACATTGTTTTCATTATCATTCGATATGGTTGTAATATTTCAGTCTCCACTTCATCCCCATTGTTAAATTGTACCCCCATCCCCCTAAAGCGATGTAATAGCATAGATTTTATTTTCCGCATTTTACTTGCTTTTCATATATTGTTAGTAAATAGGATGTGTGGCAAGATAAAATCAATAAATAGATGACTTTCAAATACAAGACAAAATGCATGCAAATCAATACACTTGTACACTAGCATCTCTAGGGTAATCTCATCTTTGTTGCCTTTCGAAAAAATAGTCATGTCCCTCGAATATGAGACGTTTTAGCAAAAACCCTTCGATAAAAAAAGGATGGTAGTCCCTCGATAACCCTCGATGTTGCCTTCGGTAAACGATCTAGTCCTTAAACGATATTGCTAAAACGTCTCATAAGTTGCCTTCTATGACTATACAAACGTTCCAACACTCGTCCCTTCACATCCAACGATGAGGCTTCTTACCAAAACAATGGTAAGGTAGCAACATCTAAAGGAGGAGGAAAAGAACATTTAATACCTTTCAAGTAGGTAGGTTCGCCCCTAGTTGCTCGTTTACTCACAACAAAAACATTTTATACCCCAAGACTTTCATTTTGAAAATATTTTCGAAAAACAAACACTTTGTATGCGTTCTTATAGAAACGAGAGCCATTACAAAGAAGACACCTTTTCAAAAACACATTACACAAACACATCTTTGAACTATTTTTGAAACAACACGTTGTACGCGT